AATTGATAGAAGAGTGATTCCCTTTGCAGTACATGCACTTAGATCCCATTGACTGACTGAATTTTGCCTTCCCGTGAATAGTGCGCTCCTTCGGCGCATTTAGGCTTTTATCAGCAAACACTAAAAATGTTTCTTCTGTGGATAGGATTTCATCTATGAACTTGAAAACATGACCCATATTGAATTGTTCGTTGGGAGTGAGTCCTTGCTTTTTGTTTATGACTTTTCGCTTAGTGGAATCAGGGAATTTCGCAAGCACTCTTTTGATGATCCATGTGCTGTTGATATTTTCCCCTTTGTCCTCTAATTGAGTGGTAATAGCTTGGAGCTTTTCTAATAGAGACCGCTGTTCCCTTATTGATGGGTTACGTAGCGTGCAATCTTCCAATTGCTCGACCAAATGATTTACCAATGCTTCTTTGTTGTTGTATTTGTTGAGAAGGTATGTAATCGCTTTTGTATAATTATCTTTAGAAACCCTGAATTTCAGAACGGATTCTCGGGCCTCTCCCTTGAGAGCGTCCAATAGATAATTGTACTTGACCATTTCCGGAAGGTCCTTGGAATTGATGTTATTATCAAAAATTTCCCAGAAATTGTCCCACTCCCATATGTTTCCCTCAAAGGATGGAATGGGAAGTGGAGGCAGCTCTACTGCTGGAGAATGAATTTGGTTCTCTGCTGCTATTAAATTTTCCCGTGATTGCTGTGTTGAACCCGAAATGACTGTTTGTTCACTACGTGGAGAGGTTGCTACCGCTAAAGCTTGGCGTCGAGCTTTTAGAGCAAAAGTCTGGTCCAAGGCTTCTGATAACGCTAACTCCGCCTTTTCTGAGTACAGTTCGAAGCTTTCCTGCTCTCCATTATTGGAAGTTTCCTGGTCGTCCATGTTTGCGGCCAATTCAAAAAGGGTTTTCTCAACCTTTTCTACCGCCACGTCTATTGTAATAATTGCTCCCTCCAACTTACTTATCTCAGCCACCTTTGTCTCATGTAAAGTGGTCGGGTTGAATGAGATTTCTTCTAGTTTTTGATCCCTAACCTCACTCACTACACACTGTAACTTGTTGACAGCGATTGTCAGGAGACGTTTCCTGACAGCGAGTTGGGCAGACATTGTGATTATGATCCTGTCCGTTTATTGGGAAAGAACCAAGTCTTGGCCAAAAATGCAATGAATTTATCCCTAAGTTGGTGCGGTCAGTCAAGAAGTCCAATATTGGAATAAGAAAACCGCAACGAACTTCTGCTACCGTGAAAGTACTGTTAAACTGACCTGAGTCCGTATAGCCGATGCACCAAATTTGTAGCGGCGTTCAGCTATGCCCTGTTTCCCTGTGTGCCACGCGGGTCTTGTTGCAGTACTCCTTGCTTGAATACACAAGATATCTAGGAGCTTTATTAGAGTACACGATGATGTTGGTAGCGAACCTCAGTCCGGTATTGGGCTTCGTCGGAGAGGTGTCGAATTTTCGTGAATTCGTTATAAGTCGGGTCAGAGTGAAGTATTCCAGAAACGGAAAACACCGTTGAACTCAGCTCTTCAAGCGCTACAAGATGGTGCTAAAATATTTTCAGAAAGCTTGATTTCGGAATGCGCCATGCACTCGATTTCATCTCAAAAAGTAGTTGCTCGCATGTGATGTGTATATAATATTCCACCCGCTGTCAGATGCGGCTACCCAAGCTACACAACCAAGAAGAGCGCCTCAATACTTCACGCCCTAGAATGTCGCCACAGTACTCAATGCTCATCACCACCTACCATTAGTGAGAATAGCACTGATTTTATTTTCGAATTTCTTCAGCTTTATTGTCCGTTTTCCAAGCGCTTACTGGCTTTACGTGTCTTACTTCTCCTGAACTTCTACAACTATCCATCCTCTGTAATAGTCAAGTGAATCTTTGAACAGTTCTCAGCAGGCATAGTGGGCCTATTATGTGACATTTTCCATTTTCAGAGGAGATGTTTTGCAGAAAGCTGTGAAGATAGCGAACAATTTCCTTCACTGTCGTAGACTACGGTCACTTGTCTGTAAGGATTATATGGAAACCTTGGTCGCAGGTGAGCGTTTCTTCCGTGGTGTGGCCCCAAACATGCCTCCTTCGTCATGCCCTTGTGGGAAGTTCAGATTTTTTTTGCATTTCCAGATGAACTCGCAGACGCTCGAATAGTGCCCCGTTGAGCGTCCCCGTAGAAAATGCTATCTGAATGAAATAGCAATTAACTTTTTCCGCGCCAGTTGAAACACCTTGGTTTTATCAGAGCGGCGCCGTTTTCAAGCCTTCCCCCTATTGCCGGATATGGCAGGTTATCCCACGATTACCGCCCCAAAATCTCAAAGTTTCATTTTTCGTCGAAACTTTGTCTATTGGGGTAATTCGATGCCCTGATTACGAATATGACATTCATTTTTGATGCTGGTGTCATTTGGCGCCATTTGGCGCCGTTTGGCGCCAATTTGGCGCCACGGCTGTTTTCACCAAATCTGCTGAAACTTCGTCATTTGGGGTTATTTGGGGTCCTGATTACGAAAACGACCGACGCGTGGCGCCTGTTTGGCGCCACGGCTGTTTCCACCAAATCCGCTGAAAACGTGTGTATAGGGGTTATTTGGGGTCCTGATCACGAATATAACATCCAGTCTTGACGCCGGCGCCATGTGGTGTCACAAACAACACTTCACAGTCAGAGCGTACTCTTAGGCACCTTTCTCAGAGCGCCGACTGTCAGACCGTGGAAAAGGTCATCGAATCGGAGACTTTCCCACGACAGGAAGGAGCCAGACCGTGGAAAACTGTGAGCTAAGCCAGAAGCATATTTCTCGTTTTCACTGGAGATGAATGTATGCGTTGGGCAGAGCAGCAATCGAGCCCGGTACTACCATCCTCAGTGACAGCTGGAGAGCCACTGTAAGCTCTCCAGCTGTCACTGAGGATGGTAGTACCGGCTCGATGTACTACTTCATGATGAGCCGCAGTAGAGTTGAAACGTCCTTTCCTTCGGACCATCCGAAGGAGTCCACTTCCTCTTTCAAATGCCTCCAAACAGCCACTTGCCTGCGTACCCAACGTCGGCGGTTGTATTTGCGTTTGATAACCAGTGTTTCGTCAATTTCCATCTCGCACCCGAACCTTCCGATGATCGGCGGGTTCCTCCTGAAGTGCCCCACACATTCGTCCGCGGAAGAACCGCTCCCACTGAATTGAACTGGTGTGGCCGACATTGAGCTCGTATTCCTTGTCCTTCACCTTGCCCATGTCGCGCAGCCAGAAATAGGGCAGTGCGAACACCGTGGACTCAGGAAAGTTACAGTTCTCGAAAAAGGAATCCTTTCGGGCATGAACGTAGACCCTGGTCTCGTTCGACGGTCCAGTGCGGCACGCTCGACGATTGCAAATCCAGCCGTTGTGCCGTTCGTCGTTGATCAGGCTCATGGATCGTTGACATGAATGGCATAGTGGCACAGACATCAACCCCATGGATCGCAACCAGTAAGTGCAGATTATTCAACTTGAGCGTCTCGTACACGTCCTTCAAGGCTAAGCCCAGTAGCTCTCATTGACGATTGTGTCGCTAAAGAGTAGCAAGAGCCATCGTTATTCTCCGTTGTCGAAAACGTGAAACATGCTTCTGGCTCCTTCCTGTCGTGGGAAAGTCTCGATGACCTTTTCCACGGTCTGACAGTCGGCGCTCTGAGAAAGGTGCCTAAGAGTACGCTCTGACTGTGAAGTGTTGTTTGTGACACCACATGGCGCCGGCGTCAAGACTGGATGTTATATTCGTGATCAGGACCCCAAATAACCCCTATACACACGTTTTCAGCGGATTTGGTGGAAACAGCCGTGGCGCCAAATTGGCGCCAAACGGCGCCAAATGGCGCCAAATGACACCAGCATCAAAAATGAATGTCATATTCGTAATCAGGGCATCGAATTACCCAATAGACAAAGTTTCGACGAAAAATGAAACTTTGAGATTTTGGGGCAGTAATCGTGGGCCCAATCCGGCAATAGGGGAAGGCTGAAAACGGTGAAAAACCAAAGTTTCAACTGGGGAAGTAATGCATATCATTCGATAGCATTTTTCACGGGGAAGCTAACGGGGCACATTTCAGGTCTGCGAGTTCATCTGGAAATGCAAAAAATCTGAACTTTCCACAAGGGCATGACGAGGAGGCATGTTTGGGGCCACACCACGGAAGGAACGCTCACTTGCGACCGAGTTTTCCACATAATTCCTACAGACAAGTGACCATAGTCTACGACAGTGAAGGAAATTCTTCGCTTCCTTCACAGCTTTCTACAAAACATTCCTCTAAAAATGGGACTTGTCACGTAATAGGGGGCAAAGGCATGACAAGGGGTGATGTTTGGGGTCACACCACGGAAGAAACGCTCACCTGCGACCAAGGTTTCCATATAATCCTTACAGACAAGTGACCGTAGTCTACGACAGTGAAGGAAATTGTTCGCTATCTTCACAGCTTTCTGCAAAACATCTCCTCTGAAAATGGAAAATGTCACATAATAGGCCCACTATGCCTGCTGAGAACTGTTCAAAGATTCCACTTGATATACAGAGGATGGGATATTGAGAGCAGAGGGAACACGTAAAGCTAGTAAGCGCTTGAAAACGAAATGAAGATCTAAGAATTCGGAAAATAACATTCATCTAATCTCACAATGTAGTGGATGAGATTGAGTACGTGGCGCATTCTGGGGTAAGTTTTGAGGCCCTTCTTTGTGTGTAGCGGTTAGCCCGCATAAGCGGGATTATATACACATCATATGCGAGCAACTACTTTTTGAGATGAACACCGAGTGCATGGCGCATTCCGAAATCAAGCTTTCTTAAAATATTTTAGCAACATCTTGTAGCGCTTG